TGATCGGCATGTCGATCAAAATTCATATTTATCACTAAAATTTAATTAGTGATACGAGACAAATCGGCCCATATGAAACTTTATCATGAAGGTCATAGCGTTATTTTATTCTTATCAATTTGTTATTAAAATAATATTGGAGAAAGAAATTCCTAAACCCGGAGCAGTAGATCTCTGTTTTTAGCCCCAATGCGTTGATGTCCGAATTGCGCATTTGGGATATCTCAAATCTAACCATAAAAGTATATACGTGACGGTGGACACCACACTTTCTTGAAAAACATTTATTTAGAGAGCTGTGAACAAAAAAAGATTTATTATTTCTTGAAGCGTAAATGAAATTTTTTGGAAAAAACGAGCTGTTACATGGAAAGAAAAATAATTTAGAATGTTTTTGTAAATTTTGGAGCGAAAATATTGGGAAGAATCTAAAGTTATTAAAGTATAATAATGTTTAGAAGATTATTATAAAGCACATTTAGACAAAAATCTTTAATAGTAAATAAATTACTATAATTCCAGATATAGTTTTGTAAAATCGAAATTTAGTTTTATACAATAAATAATAAATTTACGAATTAACTATGTTTATCCCACGGTCGGCCGTTGATGATATTCATTAATAATCTTATTGATTATACATAATACAAATAGAATTACTGCATTTAATAAAAGTCATTTATTAAAATGACAATTGTAAGGAAATTGGTATTTTATTTTGTGATCAGAAGAAACTTGTGTTGTGTCAATTGATTTAGTATAAGTTGATGGACTTGACGGGCTCTAAAGGACTTTTAAAATACTCAGATGATTTTCAATTACTCCCATACTTAAGCATAATTTTATGACCAGAATGATTTGTTAAAAGACCAGAAGTTTGGCGGATTTTCCTATAAAATTATAAAATATTTGTTTGAACGAATACATAAAAGTAGATTAAAAAGTAAATAAAAGAAGTTTTAGAAGCACCATTGAATAATAGTACAGAAAGAAAGAATATGAAGGTAAAGTAGCTGAATAAGCTTTAGCATAATAGCGTCATACACATCACGATCAGCCTTGATACCATTCTAATTTTTTGCAAATCTGTGAATTACTAAATTTTCAAAAGAAATGATTTTCCGAACCATGGATTAGCCACGTTGTTATGATCTTCATAGTATTACTCTATGATACACGCCACGTGACAATCAGCCATTAAAATTACAAAAATTTCTCAACAAATTCCTAAAAAGGAAATGATTTATCCAAGAAGGCCACATTTTTTTTTTTTTAACCATCTCAAAGAATTTTAAATTATGAAACGCCAAATTATTAATTCTTCATTCAGCCTCTCTGCACGTAAATCTTTTACGCGGTAAAATTATTAACCAAAAAGTCTTGGCAGGTAAAATTCAAAAAAGGAATTATCATAGTTGATCCATCGGACAAAAGTTTAATCGCTTTTAAATATTTAAACCCGAATACTTTCCATCTTTTTAAAAAAAGGACAACATATATTTGATTAAGTCCCTAACCTTTTCAATTATATCATAATGACGACAAAAGAAGCAAACGAAATACAAGAAGTAGATTATCTCGATAAACGTCGAGCAGCTCTTGAAGAAATTGATAATGCAAAGTTCGATTGGTTTCATATTCGTGCGTGCTTGGTAGCCGGTACAGGATTCTTCATGGATGCATATGATATATTCGCAGTCAATTTCGCCTCTGCTATGCTTGGATATGTCTATTTTGCCCATCAAAACAATACGGTGCCAAATAATATCGATTTAGGTTTAAAGGTTTCAGCTTCTATTGGGACTCTATTAGGCCAATTGATATTTGGCTGGATGGCAGATAGACTCGGAAGAAAGAGGGTAAGCGTAAAATGTAGAGAATTTTGAGGATGAAGGAATTCTATTAATTTCCTGTACAATTTACATTAATATTTACATTAGATGTACGGAATCGAATTGATGATTATCATTGTCGCAACGTTAGGCTCTTCTGTGTCCGGTGATGGTTACGCAGTTACTGTATGCGGTACCATCATGTTTTGGCGCGTAATTTTAGGGTTCGGTATTGGCGGTGACTATCCCCTATCGGCAATCATTACATCGGAATTTGCCAACAAAAAAAACAGAGGTGCGATGATGGCTGCAGTATTCGCGATGCAGGGATTCGGGATATTAGCCGCAGCTATCGTGGCACTTATCGTAGTGGCTTCTTTTAAGAATCGTATTCAAGATGATGTTACTTCGATTGACTACTGTTGGCGGTTAGTGCTTGGAATAGGTGCGCTGCCCGGCTTAGTGGCTCTCTACTTTCGTCTCACGGTCCCAGAATCTCCACGATACACCATGGATATAGAGCGTGATATTAACCAAGCGAGCCAAGATATCACAACCGTATTGAGTACCGGTAAATACAAGGAACGTGAAGTCGATGAACCAGTCGTGCGAATCGACGTACCAAAATCAAGTTGGGCTGATTTCGGGAAATATTTTGGAAAATGGAAAAACGGCAAAATTTTAGTTGGTACTGCGGTGTCATGGTTCGCGTTAGACGTTGCATTCTACGGAATCGGTCTCAACAACTCAATCATATTGAATGCCATTGGCTTTTCGAATGATCCCGATCCTTATACTTCACTTAAAAATATTGCGGTTGGTAACATTATTATCTCCGCCATGGGTACTGTTCCTGGATATTGGTTTACCGTATTATTTGTAGACAGATGGGGTAGAAAAACTATTCAATTGATGGGATTTACTGTCCTCACTATACTCTTTATTGTCGTGGGTGCCGCCTATCATCAAATTAAAAATGCCTCCATAGCTTTGTTCATCGTCTTTTTCACATTATTACAGGTATTTACTTCGGTTCTTTATCTCATATCATACACGCCGTTATCAAATTCACTAACAAAAGTACACCTCCCTTAGTTCTTCCTAAACTTTGGTCCCAACACAACCACATTCATAGTACCAGGAGAAGTCTTCCCGACGCGTTACCGATCAACCGGTCATGGCATTTCGGCGGCATCCGGAAAACTTGGCGCCATTATTGCACAAGTTGGATTCTCGAAATTGAAAGATATTGGTGGAAAGAATGAATTTGTACCGCAACTGCTTTTAATCTTTTCCGCATGGATGTTTATCGGTTTACTGTCATCATTGTTAATACCAGAAACAAAAGGGTTGTCACTGGAAGAATTATCTAATGAGGATTTGTTTCCCAAAGAGGAAAAGGAAAAGAAAGAACGAAATTAACATGGCATGTCTCGCAAGTTTTTGATGGGTTATTTCAGACTTATCTTATTAACCTTGTGATTTTAATTTATTATAATGAGGATTTCGATAAAAATTATAATTATTATACGTTAAAAAAAGGAGCTGATATTAATATCTAATTATCATTTGCAAATTTCTTATTAAACAAATTATATAGATATAACATTACGCAATTTAAATGTCGAGTATTTTATGATGTTTCCTTCATTCGTATAACAATAAAAAAACACTTTCAATGAATTTTTTAATAAAGTTAATTAATGTAAATGTTAAATATTTCTTAAAATGCTTTCAAAATATTTCAAATCAATTTCTCCGCAGTAAAAGCTAGCAAATAGTTTAAGATTCATAAGTGAATCCACTAACTAGTATTATAGAATAGGTTTTCTAGAAAAAAGGTTAACAGCACAGCAAAATATTGAAAATTTATTGATGAGTGGCATAGACCAGTAAACCTTGCATGATCGGCGAATGAAATTTGCGCAATTTTGTGTTACGTAAATAAAAAATAAATGTTTGCATCGATTTATTTATTATTACCATATTCTAAATTTTGATTAATTTTTTTTATGGTCCACTTGTCCGATCAAAGTCATGTGCTCAAAATGAGTTTAGGAACGAAAATTTCATTTCTCTCTTTTCTATTGACTGCCACCCATGTTATACGAAATTAACATGTTATTATCGAAATTATGAATTATGCTTCGGTCACTAGTAGTAATTATAATTTCAACTCGTATTTGTGAATTTCAGGATTATTTACCAAAACTGTATATCAATGAATACCAAAAAATTCTCTTTAATTAATTTATAATGCTAAAATATTTCTATTATTAAGAATGAGCTTTTATTATTTTTGAAAAAATTGTGTTAAATTTTTTTTATATTTAAATTTTGTTTTTTATATAATAAAAAATTATATATATAACGCAATAATAAACTATTAGTTTGAAAAGTTCATTTTATTAATGCATAAGAATATTATTTAAAAGATTATTAAATTATTTTTATTTATCAATTTAACAATTTTTATATAAAAGTAAGTGATTCTATAGAAATAAATCATTAAAAGTAGAATATTATTCAAAATCAAAAAAAAAAACTTAATTACTTAATTATTATACAAAATTATTAATTAATATTAGTATTAAATTAATTTTAATTAAAACTTATAATATTAATAACTTAATTTTATGTATTAAACTTATCTATAAATATTTTTTTTAAAATATGCTTATAAAAAGATTTTATTATATTAATAATAATATAAAAATTTTTTTAAATTATGCAAAATTATAAAATGGTTTTACTATATATTATATGATTATAAATAAAATAACTTATTATGTAATATATATTTAAAGTTATTCTATTATTTTTATAAATAAATACAAATAAATTTATTAGTTTTTACTTAATTTATTAAAAAATAATTTATAACTAATATATTTTATAATTAAATTATTATTGAATTTTATTATTTTTATCATTTATATAAATATAGTAATTTATTAAAATAATAATTTTATTTTTATATAGAAAAAAGAATACAAATAAATAAATTAAAAAAACACATATTGTATTTATTTATTTAATTTAATATAATATTTTAGAAATTATATATAACGATAAGTTAAAATAATAATTTAAAATTAATTTTTTATTTTAATTTATTATAACTAATTTTTATTTTTAAATATTCTCATAATTTTAATTTAAGATTTAAAAACAATTTTTATTTATTAATTAATATTAATAAAGTTAATTTTAAATACTTAAAAAATTATTTTATTAAAAAAAATAAATTTATAAATAAAATTAATTTAATATTATTTAAAAATTATTTAATTTAAAAGAATAAATTTATAAATAAAATCAATTTTTGATATTATTTAAAATTAAAGTTTTTAATATAAATATTAAATTAAAGATAATTCTATAATATTAAAATATTTATTTATTATTAGTTATAATTATTTATAATTTTATAATATTTATTCATTATAATTTTAATTAAAATTAAATATTTTATATATTAAAAATTTTACAATCCATTTCAATTTATATATATGATTAATATTAAATATTTAATAAATAAAAAAATTTAATCTAATAATATTAATATATTTTAAAATTTTATTTTTAGTAAATTTTATAAGTATAGCTTTATAATTTATACTATTTTTATAACTTATAAAAACTTATATTTAAAAATAATATATTGTATAATCTTAAAAATAAATACTTTATAATATGTTTATTTTATAGTAATTTATTTACTTATCATATAATTTTATTTTATTATTCATTATATACATATACAGTCAACTTTTGTTATAACGAACTTTATGTCCTAGACCTCAACTTCGCTATAAGGCTATAGTGAAGATTTTAAGAGATTTGATTGG